AGACCAAGGCCGCCAGAACCCATGCCCTGTGAGTCAAGTCCCAGGCATCCACTCTCAAGAAGGCCTTGAATCAACAGGCCATGGGTTCCAAGCTGTCAGTGTGACCTGGGAGGGGAGTCGGAGAGAGAACACAAAGTTCTGTACGTGGTTGGGTTTTCTGAGAATCAGACCCTACCTGGCTATATGTCAGAGGCATAAGATAAACGTAGACAGCCCAAGGGACCCTGGCATGCTTTTAACCACTCGGACCTCCTGTGAACTTCCCACCAAGAAGTGGAGAGGGACACAATTCTGCCATGTCCGTCTGTCTTTCTCCTGGTCCATACCCTGCCAGCACATGTTGTTCTTCAGTTCTGTCACTAGAGGGCACCCATGAGCCAGATTATCTGCCCTGCCCTGCCCTGGTCCGACCTCCCTGGGACTCAATTCCCACCAGGAGTTGGACAAGTGGGTGCACTCAGGTTCTCAGAGCTGAGTGCCTGCCTGGTGCCCTGTGCTCTGGATCTCATTCCCAACACTCTCTCTGCCCAGCACACAGGACCCACTCTCCCCTTGGGTCCCTCCGCCGTCAAGGTTCTCCGAGCTGCTGCCAATACAAACTCCTTGGCGAGTTCAAAAAAAAAACGATGACCTGGACCTGTCACCCCAGCTACTCGGGAGCTGAGGCAGGGGGACAGAAGTTAAAGGCTTGCCTGAACTACAGTGTGAGTCCAAAGTCAGGCTGGACCGCTTAGCAAGAGCCTGTCTGAAAGAGTAAAAAGGGATCTGAGTTCAATCCTCAGCGCTGCAAAAAAAGTGATCCAGGGGCTGGGGATGTAGCTCAGATGACAGAGGACTTGCCTAGTATGCACGAGGCCTTGGATTGGATCCCTGGCACAGAATAAACCCGGCGTGGTCGGCACACCACTGTAATCCCAGCATTCGAAAGGCAAGAGGATCAGAAGCCAAGGTAATCCTTAACTACATAGTGAGTTCAAGGTCAGCCAGGGCTATATGAGACTCTGTCTCAATAAACCAAACTTGATGTTCAGACGCTCCACCACAGACTCAGGGATACTATTTAAATAAATACTCTGGGTGAGGCTAGAGCATCTGTGAATCCCTGAGGTGGGCAGGCTGGCCCTCAGTGTTCACAGAACCCATCATAGGAAGCAATGTGGCACAGGACACGAGGAATAAAACAAACCAGGCTGGGAAACACAGATCCCAGGGCCCAACACCTTCCAGAATCTACTTCTGCTGAAATGAAACCTCCCATCATGCTCAGCAAGAGTTCATAGACTGGGGTTTGGAAGCACATTGGAAGCTGTGCTGTGCTGCAGAGAAAGCTTGAAAAGGTGGGACCTAGCATACAGTCCTTAGGGCACGGGGGCATGGCTTCAGAAAGAATTATCATAGTTCTCTTGTGACCGCTGGAGGGTTTGTATTGAAAAGGCTAGCCAGCCCCTCCCTGTGATCTGGCCTCCCATCTTTAAGAAGGACTTTAGTATCACAAGACTCAATCGCAGGGGCCTCACTAGAGACTAGAGATGGACCGCAGCACCTCCAGCAGGCCTGGGTTTTCAACCTCTAAATGGTGACTTACACATACCTCTTACTTGTATTTATTTATCTTGTCTTATGAGTGTTTTGCCTGCATGTGTGTATGTGTACCATGTCTGTGTCTGGCACTCACAGAGGTTTAGAAGGTCACCAGACTGAATGGAACTGGAATTTTGGATGGCTGTGAGCCATCATGTGGGTGCTGGGAACCGAACCTGGCCCTTTGTGAGAGCAGTCAGTGCTCTTAACTACTGAGCCATCTTTCCAGCCCACTTTTAATGTATGTATCTATTCACATGTAAAATAAATGAGAGAGGGGCTGGAGAGATGGCTCAGCGGTTAAGAGCACTGGTTGCTTCTCCAGAGGTCCTGAGTTCAATTCCCAGCAACCACATGGTGGCTCACAACCATCTGTAATGAGACCTGGTGCCCTCTTCTGGCCTGCAGGAACACATGCAGACAGAACACTATATACATAATAAGTAAATAAAATTTAACGAAAAAAAGAGAAAAATGAGAGAGAGAGAGAACAAGAGGGAGAGAGTGTGCACACTACACATGTATGTACGAGAGAAGAACTTTGGAGGGTTCTCTCCTTCAGCACTTAGGTTCTGGAGACTGAACTCAGATCATCAGGCTTGGCAGCAAAAGTCTGCACCTGCGCACCATCCCGAAGGTCCGGTTTTTCTTTCTCTATGAGCACTCAGCCTCGGACATTCTGTCACAGCAACACACACTGGACACAGCATAAAGGGCAAGCGTCGTGAACCTGCTGGGCACCACAGCAAACCCCAGGGGCCAAGCAGCACTGGGACAGCAGCCTTAGCTATGGCACGGTGTGCATCATGAGGAGGGGCAGGGAAGAAGAGCACTCCCAGAGCCAGCCTCTGCAGGAGGACCACACCCAGGCCAGGCTCCCAGCCATGTACCCCAGCCTTGACCCTCACACCCACCAGCCCTGCAGTGGGGTGGGGGGCTCCGAGCTTCATCTCACCCCAACGAGGCAGCTACGCTTCGGATACACAAGACCCCGCAGCCAGGAGTAAAGCCAGCGTCAGACACTGACTGTGGGTTCCAAAGTTACTGCCCACCGCCAGCCAAGCACCGGGCATCCAGCCTGAGGGTGCGATCCAGGCTCCAGGGGAAAGACAGAGAAGAGGAAGGTAAAGGTGCCCACTTCTACCTCTGGGTAATGGAGGTGGTCCCTCAAAAGTCAGAAGCAAGGGCACCCTGGAACCGAGGATCACAGCGGTCAGGAGTAGGAAAGGGGGTAAGCCTAGGGATACAAGAACCCAGAATTCTGAGGGCCAGTTCACCTGAGGACTCGAGTAAAGTCATGAAGTGCATATTATGGTCTGTACCTTACAAAGGAGAGGGAGGGAAGATAAGTTTGCCAAGCAGAGAGCCACAGCTCAGCAACAGACTATGTATGCCTGGATCCCAGATCCTTCCAGGGTGGGATGGCTGGACAGAGGGTCTGTCCATCTTCAGCCACAAACTGTAGGCTATGGACAAGGCACGGCCACCTCCCTCTATCTCAGTTTGGCACTGGGTGTAGCAACACTGGAAAGCCCCACTGCACTGCTGATGTGGCACCACCAGGGGGCGCTCCCAAGCTTGCCCAACCCAGGGATTCTGAGAGTTTCTTGGTCAAGTCCTGGCTCAGTGAACCTCAGCAGGCCTGTACTGCCCATTACGGCTGACTGATTGATTCTTTTTATCTGAATTCTCAAATACCAAGATAAATGTTATTCATCCCTCTTAGGCTTTAGTGGACCGTGTCTTACCGAGGGAAAATCAAGGCAGAATCCCTCTAACGCCTAGCTGCTCTCCTCTGCCCTCTGCTGGCTGGGTCATCATAGCCCTGGTGCTGCCTGCATGGGTTCCAGTCCCGCTGGCCGGTGACCGCCAGCAAGCCACTGACCTGAGCCTCTCTCCCGTCCCCAAACACAGGGGACAGCACCAGGACCTATCACAGAGCACAGGTATGCATAATCCAGAACTAACAGACCCCAATGCGCCATCACTACAACACTGATGTCCACCACAATCCCTGCCGCTGGTGAGCTCAGTAATTAACCACAAGCTCTCTGGCTAGCCCGGCCCTCACCACCATCATTCAGTATCCTCATTTTATTTAATTCTAACGAGCTAAGGACCATGTCCGGGATTCAGGAGACGCTGCTGTTAGACGTGTTCATTCTTGGGTTTGAGCAGTTACAAGGGGCACTCACGGAGCTCTGGGGAGTTCTGTAACAGTGCGCTCTGAGATTGAAACATTCCATCCTGCAGGAAGCTCCTGAAGCATGAAGATAAGAAACTCAAAAGAGCTCCAGGAAGTCCCTGAAACTGACCAGACTCACTAGGCCCCGCCCTGCCAGAGTGAACAACAAAAGCTGAGAATCCCTCAGAGACTGAGCAAAGCTGCAAAGAAGACTTCTTCAGAGGCTAGACCAGACGCCTGGAAGAAGCCAAAACAGCCAAGCTGCCTGGAAGAGGTCTAGACCAACTGAGGCAGCTGGATAGAACACTGTCCCGGCTTTGTGAGCTGTCACCCATGCTGGGGTGGGCTTTGGTGATGCAGCTGTCTTTGAGTCATTTCTGCTCCTGTAAATAACCTCAATAAAATGCATTGGTTCACCAATTTGGACTCTGATGATATCCGTACTTCGGTCTGTTGTAGGTTCCCTATCTGGGGTGAGCAGGTGTGCTGTGTCTTCCCAGGAAAAGGATTGTCACATAACAGGACCCAAGAACCCTGAAGACACTGGGTGACATGGTGACAGCAGTCCTTGCTCAGAAATAGTACCATGGGCTCCAAGGCCAGAGGACCCCCTGCAAGGTGAGCCAGTCCTGCATCCTGACTCCTGAAAGTATAGCATATGCCATCTAGTCCAGGCTCCCCAGCTCCCCATGGGCCGTCAGTAGAGTAAACGCGACAGTCCTCTGTCAAACACCCAGGGCTGTTTCTACCTCTGCACCTGGCAATAGGGAGGAACCTCCGTGGAGCAGGCGACATGTCAGGTAGGCACGGGACACAGTGCAGACAGAAGGGGCCAGGCAACAGCATGAACTCACAGCACCGCCCAGGCTCACCAGAAGGAGTGTGCCAGGGGGTTGAGACACCAAACACACTCCTAGCATGTGAACAGGAAAGTCCAAAGACCCTGAGAGTGGAACCTTGGTCAGCGGCCATCATACCAGGCAGTAGCGCTGGGGGAGAGGAAGATGGAGAGGGAGAGGGAGAGGGAGAGAGAGAGAGAGAGAGAGACTGTGGAAGAGGAGGGGGTCGGGAGCACGAGGACTGGGTAAGATAAACACAGACACACTGTATCTTTCTCAGTCACCAGGGCTGGCCCTAAGCCTGAGCCCGGACCCGTGGACTCGGCAGATGGGGTAAGAAAGCAACTACTTCCCGCAACCCAGGTCAGGTCTCCACCTCTGTATTAGGAACTCACCTGCCCTCGCTCTCCAGGAACGCGGAGCTGTTCCCCTCTGCAAGGGCTGCGCTGATGGGGGAGAGGCAGAAAGGTGAGGAAAAGGCGTCAGAGTCAGAGTCGAAGGAGCTATCCCTGCTCACGCCATCAGCCGACAACTCCAAGGAGCCCTCTTCTTCCACGGCATCGGGCCGTGCCTCCCGGCCATCCTCTGTCCCATCCTGTGAGCTGACGGTAGACAGGATCCCAGAGTCACTGTGGACGGGTTGTGAAGTGGGCAGGGGCCCATCCACCTCCGGGCCCTGCACCAGCTTTTCCCCATCTTCAGATGTAGGGCTGACATGCACAGTTCCCTGGGTGTTCTGGACCACCACCAGGATGTCCTCATCCTTGGGGGTCAGCGGAGGCCTTGGCTCTGTGGGGGAGGGCTGGTAGGGGGCTCCCAGGCTCGTGGTGCGCCGCCGCCGAGGGCGCGGTGCCTTGCGCACAGGGGAGCTCTCGGGAGTGATGTAGCGTAGGGCCTCCTCATCTTGCTTCTGGATGCGAGAGTTGGGGACCCAGGCCAAGATGAGGGTAGCTCCCAGCAGCTCATCCTTCTCCATGTAGAGGCACAGGTACCCTGTGGGGAGTCAGTTGCAGGGCAGTCAGTCAGGGGGTTGGGCAGGTGGCATCCTAGCTACGTGTTCAGCTCTAAGAGGAGGGAGGCAGATGGGCAACATAGTCTTCCATCACAAAAACAGATCCAAGGTGGGCAGGCAGATGGGTAGCGCCTGGGCCTCTTTAGTCATGGCATTCCCGGTTCTCTTTTTCACTGTCGTTTTTGGGGGAAGAATCTGTTTGTTCATCAGTACCAAGCCCCAGGGAGGGGGAGTTCATCTCCCAACACAGCCCCAACTGTTCAGAGGTATCCCGGTTCCTGAGCTATGACACACCATCCCCAGTTTGTGATTCAAAACCCTTTAGGCAACAGCCAACAGTAACCACATACATCCCCAGGGACTCGAACTCCAGCCAAATCTCCTTGGCACGCTTCTACGTTTGGCAGAGGCTGGGAAAAGCAGCCAGCTGTTCATAACGGTCCCACGATGGGGAGGCTGTTCCCACACCCTTGTGACAAGCCTTAAGGATAAAGATTTTAGAGAACCTAAAACGTCCTTGACTTGCCATCAAAACACTACAATTAGAGCATAGGATTTCCCAAGGTAGCTGTGTTCCTTACAGCGATTATTTTAGACTCTCGACTGAGTGGGCCCTGCAGCCCCTGAACTCAGCCTAGAACCCCACCCATGCTTCATGTGTGAGGTTCCTGTCCCCAGCCTGTGGGATGGGGTCTAATCCCCATGGGCCAGCTAGGACCTCAACAGAGAGATGCCCGCGTGCACACTCCCAGGAGGGCCCTCATCCACTCGGCACGTCTCGTTCTCCTCACGCTTAAGCCCGTTTGAAATGCCTTTGCTCAGCTTCCGCTCTGCTTTTCAAACAAACTACTTCTGAAGTTGCTTTCTCTAAGCCACAGATCCCAAAGTGTCCTAAGAGGAGGCCCCTTAAGTCTACGGAAGCTCCTAGAATAGCTCAAGGTGGCAGTGGGGACCTGTGTGGTTCAGGTCCCAGAACACTGACCGCAGAGAAGGATCCATTCCTGGAGACTAAAAATGTTCCAAGAATGGCCACAGGTGACACAAACGTCCAACACAGAGTCTAGGAAGTTTCCCTTCCTGCTCTCCAGAGAGTTGGTCCTTGATGCTTCAAATTGCAGAGCCCGGGAGGGGGAGGCAAGCAAAAAATATGAATCCTTGGGGAGATCCACCCAGTCCCTCAGGCCTCGGTCCTCCCCTCCCTGCCTTGGGATGCTGACCCTGTCTCACCTGGGTGGTGCTCCCCAGGGCCCTGCAGCCCCTCGGGTGCATGCACACAGACATTGTTCTTGGAGTAGATGATCTCTCCATCCAGGACGGAGGGGGACCCGCCACTGCCCCCCGTGGTGAGGGTCAGGAGATCCGAGGCCCTGGAGGAGGCCCTGCGAAGGAGGCGGCCCAGAGACATGGCTGAGCGCACGTTTCCATCCTCCGCGCGCTTTGGCCCAGGCAGGGCGCGTCAAGACCTGCATGGGAGAAGACAGGAGATGTATCGGAGATCACGGTCGGGGACGTGTGCTGCCCAGTGCCCTCAGAGCCCAGTGGCTTCTGGATCATGCTGGCACAGCGTATGTGGGGCCATGCTGCACAGCCTCCCTGAGCTCAACCTACAACAGACCACGGGCATCTGTGCACGCAGTTTTGAGCCTTACATTTCCACGTTACTTAGAGAGCGGCTGCATCAGTGCCAGGCTTGGCTGCCAACAGCCCTCAACTGCTTCTGAGAATCCAAGGGAGGAGGGGAAAAAGGAGGAAGAGGGAGAAGAGAAAGGAAGAGGAGACAGAGAAGGAGGAGGAAGAGGGAGAAGAAAAGAAGAGGAAGAGGAGGAAGAAAAGGAGGGTACCGTTTCTCTGGTCCAGAAACTACGCAAGCCACATAAATAATGTAATACTTTCTAGTAGTCATGTTTGACAAGAGGAAAAACTATTGAAATTAATTTTAATAAGCCGCTAAATCACAGATATTTTTAACATCATTAAGATGAAAAAATGAGTAACGAGACATTTTACATCCTTCAGACTGGTGTCCTGCTGCAGCAGTCCCTGCCTGCCACCTGAGGTGCCCAGGGCTGCCATGACTGTGGCCATGGCCTCCAGTGGCTGCAGAGGCATGCACAGACTCCTCCTGAGCCTTTCAACCCAATACCACTCAGGGAGCTGCATCAGCACCAGACTTGGCTGCCAAGAGCCCTCAGCTGCTTCCGAAAACCAAGAACATCCTCACGTGACACTGTTTAGCCACGCTGAGGATAATCAAAAGAATGTGCTGGAAGCTTGGGAGGAGATTCCAAAAGCCAGGCTGTGGGCGCGCGGTGCATCCTCCTGCTGTTCCCCAAACAAGAGCGCAGGATCCCGGCAATCAGAGCAGCGTGGGAGGAGGAAGCCCAGACCGCAGGGAGGCCTTCCTTCCCCTGTGCCCACTCCTGCTGCTCCCTGCTGGGAGGGCTGGGCCAGCTGGGTGTGCAGGCAACCTCCCTCCCCATGTTCCTGGAGGCCTGGCTGCTTCTGAACAAGCCAGGGCAAATCTGCTCCACATTAGCCAGGGCCATTTACTCTGGTAAGACAGTTCCTATTTTCAAAATGTATTTGCTTTTTGCCTCTTTCCCCTAAATTAAACCCGCTGTCTGGTGCCTGTTTTCCATCACACCGGATGGAGGGACCCTCAGTCTGTCTTCGACTTTAAAACTCTGTCTCACTGGGCGTGGTAACATCTGCCTGTGGTTTCCGAATCAGGAAGGCTGAGGTAGGAAGACTGTAAATTCGAGACCAGCCTGAGCTACCACCTTGCCAGGGTGATGGTGGAGCAACTCAAAGGCTCAGCAGGTAAAGGCACTTGCTGCCAAGCCTGACGACCTAAGCTCGATCCCTAAGGACCCACACAGTAGAGAGGACTGACTCCCAAAAGCATACCCACCATTGTGTATGCACACGCACACACATAAACGTGATAAAACTTTTCATAAAATGTCTGGGCTAGGGTGTCTCAGTGGTAGGATACTTTGTCTGACAAATACAGATTCCTGGTTTGATCTCCAGCACTGGGGAAGAAAAAAAAAGTCTAAGAAAAGTTATGACGGGCCAGAGGTGTAGCTCAGTTGGTAGACGGGGGCGTGGCTCAGTTGGTAAGGGGGGTGTGTGGCTCGGTTGGTAGATGAGTGCTGCACAAACCCATGTGTGGTGGTGCATGCCTGCAATCCCAGCAATCACTGGGGAAGTGGAGGAGAAAGATCTGAAGTCCAAGCCCATCCTCGGCTACATCGTGAATTTAAGGTTATATGAAACCCTGTCTCCAAAATAGGGAATGAGGAAGAGGAGGAAGGAGGGGAGGAGGAAGGAAGTTATGGAAGATGGATGAAGAACGCACTGCCCTAAATAACACGATCCAAGATATGGTTGCATCTTCTATGTCCAGTCTAAAAATACAGCGGTTTAAAAATGTAAAAACCCACCCACCAGGACGTCATCTCTCTTTTGGTTACATTACAAACACACTTCCCTGGTGTCGTAGATTGAACACATTCCCTGGGGCTCACGTGTTGTGGTCCTAACCCCCAGCTCAGTTCGATGTTATGCAAACAGGAAGTCAAGCTGACCCACCTTCATAGCTATGTGGCTTGAAGACAGCCACCTACAGGCCTGGCAGATGGATCAAGGGGTCATTTCCCTCTCAGCCTAGGAAGGAATGAACTGGCCAGTACCTTGGCCTTGTGCTTCTAGCTTCCAAAGGTATGAAGGAATAAATACTTCCTATCCAAGGACCCTGTGGTAGTCTGATTTAACTGGCCCTCTGTAAGCTCAAAGCAAGTGGACCTATTAGGAGATATGGCTTTTTGGAGTAGATGTGGACTTGATGGAGGAAGTGTGTCACTGTGGGGGTGAGCTCTGAGGTCTCCTTTGCTCAAGCTCCACTCAGTGTGACACTCAGTTCACTTCCTGTGGCCTGCTGACCGAGATGTAGCACTGTAGCTCCCTCTCCAGCACCGTGTCTGCCTGCACGCCCTGTAGCACCATGGTGACAATGGACCGAACCTCTGAAACTGTAAGCCACCCCATTAAATGATTTCCTTTATAAAAGTTGCCATGGTCATGGTGTCTCTTCTCAGCAACAGAAATCCTAAGACAGATGCAGCCTGGGGCTGTTGACACAGTTAAAAATGGGAAATGCCAAGCTCTGCCTTGTGTGTGCTGCTGGGGATCACACCCAGGGCCTCATGTGTGCTGCTGAGGATCACACCCAGGGCCCCACGTGTGCTGCTGGGGATCATACCCAGGGCCCCATGTGTGTGCTGCCAGGGATCACACCCAGAGACCCACGTGTGTGCTGCTGGGGATCATACCCAGGGCCTCATGTGTGTGCTGCTGGAGATCACACCCAGGGCCCCACGTGTGTGCTGCTGGGGATCACACCCAGGGCCCCACGTGTACTGCTGGGGATTACACTGTTGGCCTCATGTGTGCTGCTGGGAATCATGCTCCGGGCCTCATGCACACAGGGCACTAGTCTGTCATTTAGCTGGTGTCTCCAGCCTTTGTGTCCAGGCCAGGCTGGTACTGAACTCGAGATCCTCTTGCCTCAGTGTGCTAGCTAGCTTTTGTTACCTTGACACAACCTGGAGTCAACTGAGAAGAAAGAACTTCAATTGAGAAAACGCCTCCATCAGACTGACCTGTAGGGATGACTGGGGGAGCTTTTTTTTTTTTTTTAAAGATTTATTTATTTATTATGTATATATTGTTCAGCCTCCACGTATGCCTGCAGGCCAGAAGAGGGCACCAGATCTCATTACAGATGGTTGTGAGCTACCATGTGGTTGCTGGGAATTGAACTCAGGACCTCTGGAAGAGCAGTCAGTGCTCTTAACCTCTGAGCCATCTCCCCAGCCCCCCCCTTTTTTTGATTAATGATTAATGCATGAGGGCCCAGCCCACTTTGGGCGGCACCATCCAAGGCAGATGGCCTTGGGCTGTGTTAAGAAAACAAACTGAGCAAGTCAGGAGGAGGCAGCCAGGAAACAGCGTTGCTCCCTGGCTTCCGTCTTAAGTTGCTGCCCTGACTTTGACCGCGATGTAGACGTGGAAATAAACCTTTTCTCCACTATACGCTTTTTAAAAAAATATTTTCTATGGTTTATTTAATGTGCATTGGTGTGAATGTGTCAGATCCCCTGCAACTGGATCTTCAGACAGCTGTGAGTTGCCATGTGGGTGCTGGGAATTGAACCCAGGTCCTTTGGAAGAGCAGTCAGTGCTCTTAACCACTGAGCCATCTCTCCAGCCCCCATAGACGCTTTTGATCCTGGTCTGTCACAGCAATAGAAGGCTAACTAGAACGCTTGCCCCACCTGCCCCTTCCATCCTCCTACCCCACTCCCACCCCGCCTAACCCGTGCTGGGATCACCACGCCCTGTAATTGCATTTATCTACTTTGGAGGACCTGAGGCTCCCCTGGTCCCAGGATTCCTCTGACTTCCTTTCTCCCTCCCAGAACTCTTCTCAAGCCACAAATCCACTACGTGATTTGTCTTTTATTCTGCTTTTCTTACGGCTTTAACTCTCAGGAAACCACCGTTGCTATCTCAGAAAGCCTGCTGCGGTGTGGGCGGTCCTCTACCTGGGAGAGCCTGGGAGTTGACTGGCAGTCAGTCCACAGTGAGCACATAGACTGGTTTTATTACTGTACGTGTTTTTATCAGTAAGTGATAAAAGCAGGAAAAGCAACAATAACTTCATATTGCTGGGATGCTCGGGACCCTTAGCTGTGGCTGGAGGCCAACATGTTCACCGTTCCTGTTAACACCCTCCACGCAGACACATCCATGTCACACACCCGAGGAACATGTGTGTGCATTCACACACAGGATCCATGCATCTCAATACCTGCATGCTCCGACAGTGCAGGTCACCACGGGCACAGTTCAGTGAGAAGCAGCGTGGCAGGGACCCCCAATTCCTCCATGCTGTCACCATCACCCTATGGACAGTACCAGGAATGAAGTGCATGACAACAGACAGCCCAACCTCCAATGACAAGCAGCAGGACTCGGTCAGGGACCGTTGCCCAGGCCCCAGATGTTCTCACCAGGCGCTGGCTGGCATGGCATCTGGGCCTTCACCTCTGATGCCTGGCAGTTCTGGGCCCACAAAACCACAGCTTGTTTCTGAGGCCTTGAGGGTAAACCTCCAGCAAGTAGCCATCCAGAGAGGTACAAAGTGCCCGTGACTTCACCAGGGAACCCCAGGCATGCCCTGCGTTTGCGGCTGTGAGAGGCGACTGAGGTCCATCCCAGGGCTCGTCCCCGTCCAGCCAAGAGCCAGAGCTGCCCGCAGGCCCAGGGACGGGGTGGGCTGAGGTGGGACTTGCTCCCTTGCTCTCATGAGCATCCCTCCCCAACTCCCAGCTCACAGAACAGCTCCCTGCTCCGTAGTGGCTGCCACACCCGCCACCTTGTGGCGAGAAGAGCTAAT